CTGACCCAACAGACCAGATCTTAACAAAATCTGACTTGGCGTGGCCAGCTTCCGAAACTGAAATTCATGACCAACACAAACATTTGTTTTAGAAGAGGAAACACTTTGTGGAGTAAAGGATGTTAGGGGGGCCAATCACTGAAACGGTGTTATAAAGAGTAAAAACCATCACAAGAAGCTTAGAAAGTGCTCTAAAATCACTCTTTTTTCAGCATATGACAGCGATAAGTCCAGCTCCCCACTCTTCAGAAGGGCGTGGTCCTAACCACAGCTTTCATGCAGGTACACTAAGGGAGAGATCTATAAACTGTTTGCACAGGTTTTCACTGCGTAAACAAGATTTGCAGCACTGTATGGCCACAGGATGGAGCCGAATATAGGCATTTCCTATGATCCGTGGCTCTATCTAGTCACCAAACAGCTGCTTTGACATCATGACTCCCAACAGGCGCCACTGTCAATCATTCTCTGCAGGGTGGGAAAGGGAGGGCCATATCTGCCGCAAGGCAAACAAAAATGCCGCCCTCAAAACAGTCAGGCAAGCGGGGCTGCACAGAATTTGGCAGCCTCAGCTGCCTAATCTAGCATGACGAGGAGGCAAGGAGAAGGAGGCGCAGCAGCAGGAAGCGGGGGGTGCAGGTCCGGATCCCCATCAGGGGGCGGAGGAAGCAGGTCCCGAAACGCCAGTCAGGCACAGAGGAGGTTGGGATCTGCAAATGCCAGTCGGGGAGTGGAGAAGGCTGGGTGTCCGCAGAACCAGTGGTCCGGCGGTGAAGGAGGCCAGGTCTAGCAGCGGGCGGCAGATGCAGGTAACTGGATCACACTGCTGTTAAAGGGAACCTGCAGAGCCCAGGATAGATTCTGCACAGCCCACCACCTGAAAGTCTCAGGGGGACTTTGCAGGATCTGTGGCGGGCTCTATAGTGTCCAGAGCACACCACAGACCTTGCACAGCCCCCCTGGGACCCTGCAGAGCTCACCACAGACCATGCACAGCCCCACTGAGACCCTGCAGAGCCCACCACAAATCCAGCAAACTGCAGGGTCTCAGGTGGGCTCTGCAGGGTCTGTGGTGGGCTCTGCAGCCTGCAGAGCCCACCACAGATCCTGCACAGCCCCCCTCAGACCCTGCAGTGCCCACCAGAGATTCTTCACAACCCACCTGAGACCTCACAGAGCCCACCTGAGACCACAGCTTTCCTGCTATGCTAATAGTGGAACATGTCAGAAGCTGGATACCAGCGACTGACAGGTAACGCAAAAGTAAAAACAGGAAGGGGTGGGGCAGATTTAGTGGGGGTGGGGTGAGGGTGCCCAAGTCGTCTTGCCTAGGGCAGCCCCAAACCAAAATACACCACTTTGGAAAGGGAGTGGGTGTCAGCCTGTGATAGATACACAGGCATTAGCGTGCTGCTGCTTCCATTAAAAAAAGTATGTAAGCTGACAACAGGAGACAGGCATGGTGGAGGACACTGGCAGGATCTCGGTGGAGGACACTGGCAGGATCTCAGTGGAGGACATAGAAATGTGATAAAGGCAATTTTTATTTCAGGCTTACACTTTAATGAAACCCCAATAAACATACTGCTTTATTGTCACCTGACTCGGTTTTACTCCAGAGTACCTCTGCAGCAATGGTCTATTCACAGTGCTACATCAACTGTCACCTAACAGAGTCAACATGGTTGATGTAAGGAAATATTTCAACCTGTATGCCCACCATTAAACCACTGGTCTGAGCAGACAGCCATAAGGCTGGGGGTTCGAATCTACTGTTCCTTCATTTTGTCTTTGTAAAGTGAATCGGTCCTGACTGAAGAAAATAAAAATGACATTTACTAAGAAAGTGAAAAACAACTTCAGGATTGAAAAATCGGATACTTACAGAACACTGTGCTTTGATCTCATGGGTATAGACAACCGGATTCTGGTATAAATGTTGTTTAGCTTGAGCATTCATCGCATTATTCATCCATCCCGTGGTCTCCTGCACACACTTTGTCACCTTTTCCATGTCTGCAGTGCTGATATGTTGGTAAGCCTCATTCTGTATAAAGACAATACAGGAAGAGTCACATGATACAGAATTCTAACATGAAGACCATGTACATAATCAGAGGATGTTGACAGTACCCTTCCACCGGTCATGAAGGGTGAAATCTGTCAATTACACACATTACCTGGCTCTTGTATTCATTTACGATCTTTGCATAGTGCTGCAGTCTCTGTCCAAGTGCTTCAAATGCTTTTGGGCGTTCTTCCGACTCTCTATACCGCTCATGGACAGGAGAACCTAATCGCTAAAATAAAGAACAGCCATTTGGTAAGTATAGGAGAAGGAAATGGGCAAGACAAGAATTTAGAATAAGGCCCAATAGTCACTTCTGACTAGTAAGACAGTTACCTTTAATTCTTCCAGCTTCTCCACATACACCTGCCTTGACTGATCTTCTCCATCCTCATAGAGCCAATCCTCTGTTGCCGTCAGAAGCTCAGAAAACCGGCTGTGGTCCTGTTATAATAAACCATAGCAACATTCATTCACAACATTTACCACCAAGGGACATGTAGACAGACATATCTAAAAGAATCCAGACGAGTCCTTGGCAAAGAAATACGTCGATAGGCGGGCACTTGTGAATGTCATCGTGTCCGCGAGTAGTGTGGAGAGACACTCTGAATGGACAAACGGTGTTTATCTTATATGTGATTGTCTGTTATTAGCTATAAAGCTGGCCATACACCTATAGATGATCTGCAGACTTTCTGTGGTCAGATGGAAAAAGTGCAACAGATTCCTCCATCTACGCTAAACTGTGTGGATGGAGGAATCTCCCACTGGGTCAAGCTTCAGTATCTTGCTAGTTGTCCCTGAACAAAGTCTGCATCCAATCAGATTGTTCAGCAGGGCTGACTAGCAAGTTACTAAAGCTTAGCCCGGTGGGAGATTCCTCCATCCACAGTTTAGCGTAGCTGGAGGAATCCGACTATAGAAAATCTGCAGATAGTCTATAGGTGTATGGCAAGCTTTACATTGGGGAGACTGATTGGGATGTCCTGGATCATTACTGGTATTACTAATGGAAGTGATGTCCTGGATCGTTACTGATATTATCTGAAGTGAAGGGATACTGAGAGGAAGCTGGGAAGCCAATACCGCACTAAACCATATCTGAACGTCCTGCATGGGGTCATTTATTTCTGATGTGTGGATCCTGCATTCTCCGTTCACTGAGGGTGGAAAGGAGCACGATATGTAACACGGAAGATTGAGGATTTGCGATTTGAGCCACATTTATGGATCTGAGTGGGTAATATATGGACTTTGTTGTTTGCACACATCACTATTATCACGGAATGTAGTGGACTTTTTTGATGACAGAGCGTTGTGAATGTTTACATCTATAAGGCACTTCAATAGCTGGAATATCACATTGTGTTTTGTGGATTGAGTAAGGCACTTTATTTATGTATGTTCAAACCTATAAGCGCAGTGCACTATTTATTTATATCCCAAAATAAATATTGCACATTAGGCACAACCTTGTTTAACCCCTTAGTGACAGCTTCAGAACATTTTTTAGTTCCTGGGGAACTGGAGCAATTTCACCAACCTTGCTATGTGTTTGTTTAACCATAATTTCCACCTTCCTCATTCATTGCACCTACACATTATAAAAACTTGTTTTTTTTAAAAGGACAATGAGGGGCTTTCATTTGATTTGACATGCTTATATAAAAAAAATTTTAATAAAAAAAAAAAAAAAATGCAAAAATAAGATGAAAAAACATAATTTGTCACAATTTTGTCAATAATAAGGTCTACATAATTAGTGTAGCCAACAGAAAGTAATAAGAACTTTTTTTCCCGATTTATAGATGTCTGGGATTTCAGTTTATTTAGGAGTTATAGGTCACAAAATACAAGGAATGAAATACAGTTTTAGCATGTGGTAGGTTTTTCTCCTATCTTTAATAGCCTTCCTCGGCACTATATATTTTCTTAGTTTTTTTTTTAATTTTTTATTAGGCTAATTCAAAAAAACAACTTTAAAAAAACAGGAAAAAAAAACATTTTTATATTGTTATTTATTTTTTAAGCTCGGGGGCACTAAGGGGTTATTTTTTTTAATGTATTTACAGGGGCTGTGATCCTTAGCATCTCTGTGGAGAATACAGCATTCCCAGAGATACTTTGTATCAGTTTGTAACACACTGAGCCGGCCCGCAGCTCCACAACACAGTGGCTGTCATGGGTCTGGGATCACAGGACTGTGACCACCTAATCTGCTGTTGAGGGTCTGCTTTGGACCCCAAGGGACCCAGCAACAGCAGTAACTCAATGAGCGCTGGTCCCTCCCCTGACCAACGGTGACGGGATTATTCCATCACTGGTCGTTAATGAACTGAATGATCATGACGGAATAATCCCGTCATCGGGTTGGGAAGGGGTTAATATAGTGGAACACAAAGGACTCCCGAGTGGGCAACACATGAACTTACCTCCTCAGAGATGAATTGGCTGTAGGGTCCGGAGAGTTTATCCCTGTATTCATATACATATTCCTCAACAGCATTCTTTGCATCATTCCTCTCTTTCTCCCGCTTATCTTGGAGGATCATTTTCCCCTACAAATCCCAGAAGAAGGCACTTTAAGTGGGTTATTTGTGGTGTGTACACATATCCCTCTTAGCGAGGCAGGTGCATTTGGAAAATTAATCTTATACAACAAGCTACTAATTATCTCTTTCAGAACACAAGAATAATTATAGGATATTACTCGCTGAATGTGAAAATAAAGACATGGCTGAACAAGTTTACAGCGGAGACAAAGCCAGCATTTGCATTTATGACATTTTATTGGAACAGTAATTACTAATGACAGGCAGAGCAGGCCCAGTAACCCTTTCAACAGAGCAAGAGAAGTGAGCCACTGGAGCAGCGACTCAAACTGTCAACACCTATTACAAACACGATAAGCCTTGCTGGGTGAGTGAATCAATTTGCAAACTGGTGAATGATGCAAATGTTAACCCACATAAGTGTTGGGTGTTGGCGTTTATCAGACTTCAAATTTTGGTGTTTCTAAGTAAATGTTTAGAAAGGATCATCTATTTCTTGTATCTTGCTGCTGGTTTGAATCAGGACTCAGATGGTCACTGATGTGCAATTCATTTCACATGTCAATTAGCCTTATCCCTTGTTATAGCTTCCAACACGGCTGCAGGATGGTCTGGGCTGTCTGTGTAGCATGTGAGGCAGCCAACAGGCAGTCCTGGGGCACAAGACATAATTATAAAACAGGCATTCGATCACTTAAGGAATAAGTGACAGAGCAAGGACTGGGATGATAAGTGACAGAGCAAGGACTGAGATGAGACAAGTGACAGAGCAAGGACTGAGATGAGACAAGTGACAGAGCAAGGACTGAGATGAAACAAGTGACAGAGCAAGGACTGATAAGGACTGAGATGAGACAAGTGACAGAGCAAGGACTGAGATGAAACAAGTGACAGAGCAAGGACTGAGATGAGACAAGTGATAGAGCAAGGACTGAGATGATGCATGTCCAAATAGAGGCAGTTTACTATAGGGCTGCAACAACTAATTGACATAATCGATTATAATCGATTATTGAAAAAGTTTATTTTAGTATCTAAACCCTAAAACATAAATAGAATATATTGCAGCTTACCAGTCCTTACATGTGGTGGCTGCATTAGTTTTTTTATGCTCCCCCCACCCCCATTTATTTTCACCTTGATATCCTGACAATAACATTCTTCCAGTCATAGGGCAATAACGCTCACTCACTGTACTGTATCTATGGAGGTGCTGCATCGTCACCCTATTACATTGTTTTAACAGAGCACCTCCCTCTCATCTCTATAACATGAAAAAGGTATTTGGGAAGGAACAACATTATTGTTTTACATTTCAAAGTCAAAACATTTTTAAAGATTTTTAAAAAAGGGAGCAAAACAAATTCATTGTCAGAGTTTACAAACACTTTAGGAATTTAAAAAAAATCTTAATAAAATGAACATATATAATTGTTGCACAAGCCATTTGGCAATTTCATGTTATAAAACATAACCTTTCCAATTAAAACTGTAGTTCTAAATGTGTCAAAATAAATTCAATGCAATATGGTGACCTGGGGGCGTTCTGTGCACAGTTGGTATACGGAACTCCCCCAGAAATGTCACTTCCTGCTTCTGCGATTGGCTGACTGATATTTACAGAAGTCTGCACTTAGATACAAGCACAACGTTTTGGCATCCCTATGGATTAATTACTACTACAGGGATGCTGACAGTGCACCTTTCCCTATTACAACACAGGAAGTACAACAGCTGGTTATAATGAACCCAGACCCTCCTAGTCGGGGGATCAGTTAGGGGGAAGAACATGATGAACCAAAGAACAATTTCTTCAGATCAGAAACAGGAAGGAAACTGCAACAAAGATGGTTACAAATCCTTGCAATGTACACAGATCACCCAGAGAGGATACATTATTTTTTTTTTCCTCAACACAAATGGAATTACTTTTTAAAGATACAGAATGATTTAAACAGATAGGGATGCAATTTAAACATGAAATTAAATGTTTTGAGCAGAACCTTTCATAAAAGACAGAAGCAATGTGCAGCTGAAACTATAAACGTGCAGAGGCACACAAGTCTAGACTGCTTTTCACGGCTATAGAGCTATGATGAGTATAGAGTCCTTCACATACTCCAATATCACCCAACACACAAGTGCTGAAAAGACAGACAACCTACTCACCTCATTCTCAATGTACATGTTGAGCAAGTCTTTCCCCAGCTGCCACACAAAGTTTGTTTCAATAGGCACCTCAACATTCTTCACCTTAATCTTTGGCTTCTTGGCCTCCGGAGGCTTGTCACTCTTCTTTTCATTTAGCTAAAAACATTTTCAGATCACATTAAACAAGAAATACAAACATCTACAATTTCCTACTATTACTGGTTTGCCATGACTCAAGGGCAGGCAGTATGTAGTGCTGTAGCTCCAAGCATTCCTGATAGAAACTAAAAGCTCATAACACCCATCAAACTGGTATTTTTCCCAATAATGTGTACCAAGTTTAACATTTGGGAATCTATGATCTACCCCAACATTTTCCACGCATATACCCATTAAAACAACCCTATTGCTATACAATACATACCCAGCAAAGCTCTCACTGTAAAATAATACCTTTCACTGTGCCTATGCCACTAAACTCTGCCGCCCTGCTACGAATCAATGAACCCCCAGAACCGCACACCCTGGGAAATCGGCAATTCCGGGAGCACTGATCTCCTGGGTCCCCTGCAGCTCTACAGTAAATTACTTGTAAGTAAACCAGAAAGGGGTCTGTTTCCCAGTCAAATTCAGCGAGACCATTTCATAGCATAGGAGCAGAGTTCGGAGTCACACATATTTACAGTCTTCTTTTACAAGTAGAGCTTTGCTGGGTATGCTTTGTATAGCGAGATGTTCGGTTTTAGTATACAGTAAATGTAGTCAATTTTGGGACAAATCATCCGAGTAAAGAAGAATATTCATCCATAGCAGGTTTCTGCCCAGACCCTCGGAGCTAGATTTTTGTTCTGGACCTGACTAAGAGGCGCATAGACTTGGAGGCCTAGATGTTATTGAACTGAAAAATGATGGCTCAGAAAGATCAAGGTTTTACATGTAATAAGTTATACATTCTCCCCCTTCAAGGTTAAATGGTAACATTTTTATTTGATTGAAATCAAGCTCCTTTGATAGAGATCCCCAAATCCTCCCCCCGAGGCATGCCCATCCAATTAAGAAACTTGCGTAGGTAATTATTAGCCATTTGTTCCGTTGTGAATGTCATTGTACAGAACCATCAATGACAGACTTTATACTCAGGCTGGGATAAGGAGTTCCCTTACTTGTGATGTAAAACAAATCTAGAAGAAAACTGCCCTAAGACAGATTTACTCAATCATGATACCATGTAACTAGTCTAAAAGGTGAAGCTTTTTGGACAGCACAATTGTGAAGTGGCCATTACCTGAATCTTCTATTAGGCAGAGGTTAGAACATTAGTTACCACATCATTAATAAAACTCGAAGTAAAAGCACTCACTTTTTCAGTGTTAGCCACTTTGGGTTCATCACCGGTGGGTTCGGGTGGAGGAGGAGAGGGATGTCCATCAGTTTGTACCTGGGGCTGTATTCCAGCTTCTGCATGGTCTTGCTGGACAGTCTTCTGAAAAATAAACCCAGGCACAAAGAGATGTTAACAAGAGGGGAGATGAGCGTGTAAGAGAGTCAAATAGGATTAACCAACCAGTGTTATTACTACTGCAACTATAAAAAGGATCAGACTAAAGAGCATTCATCTAGGCACCAAACACTTGGAGGACTAAAGTACTTGTTACTGTAAAGAGCAGGAGTCTGGCTGCAAGTCTCATAAATCTGATCAGAAAGACATTACACACAATTTCCTCAAACTACAATCATCCCATTGACTACATTTACTGTTAATCACGACAGAAATACTTACATCCTCTATAGTGTCTGTGTCCTGATTCTTAGAGTCCTGTGCATTCTCCACAGACTGATCCTCAGTGTCCTCCACCTCTACCTTCTCTACCACGGAGGCTGTGGACACACTGAAAATGCCATGTGTATTGACCCGAACTTTCACCTTCACCTTTGCATTCTCTCCCTCTTTAGTGGCAGAAATGTTCTGGACAACAAACTGGCCTGTTGAAAGAAAACAGTTTTAACAACATGACTTTTACAGACATTTTAGGTTATTTGAGTTAACCTGATAAAAATATTGGTTTGTTTTTAAGATTCATGCACAGGACTGTCATCTTTATCCTTGTTTCCCCACTTAGCAAGTGTCGGACAACAAACACATGCAGGTGTAAATAATCCAATGAGACCCTTACCTATCTGAGGCTGTGGATAAGGGATGGAGCCAGGGTCTGTATAAAAGGCTTCCAGCTGAAATGGATTCTTTCTATAGAAGGTGAGGACCTTTGAGAAAGGAGCGGCATGGTTTCTGCTGAAGACTTCATGAATTCTAAAACATAAAAACAAAAATGGATAACTTTTTATATTCTGGTCAGCCTGGGCAATAGAAATTGTTACATCTGTGAAATCAACGGTTTCATTTAACAGAAAACAATGGATTTTATGGACTATACGAGCATGCCGAATCCCACGTCAAGCAAGTGAGGGGAGGGAAGGGTAGATCGTTGCATGGTATGGTAGATACCAAAAAAGTTTTGGCTGCTGAAAGTTGAATTCCAGGTAAACCGCTAAATAAATGAGATGCCTATAAAAAAGGAGCAATTTTACCTGCCAAAGAATTTGTATTTCTGTCCATCATGATTTTCAAAACTCTGCCCCATAGCACAGCCCTGTCTAGCAGGGGAGGGGACCTGATCTTTCTCCGCTGCAGTTTCACTCTCACCAACAGGTTCCATCCCCATGGCACTGAACAGTGAAAGGAGAAGCAGTTCACTGATATGCTCTGCTTTCTCCTCTGACCGGAAGTTCCGGTATCGGGGAAGGTATCGGAGAATTCGGGTGAGTGCAAGTACTCGCACAAACGCTCAGTATCCGCACCAATACCAGTATCTGTACATCCCTAGTGAATATGGCCAGCTTTTTCCGGCTTTCATTAAAAATAATTTGAATGATTTATTATTGCCTACAAAGCTACATTTACACCTAATATCTACCTGGAGTTTGGCTTTAATGTGATTCTGCCATATTATTCTGTTATATATCTTCTACAAGTCACAAAGAAAATGCCAGTGTTTATATAAATGGCGAACTATTGAAGACATTTATGAAACTGAAAACAAATTACTTTGCCTTAATTTAATATGCACAATAGTAAAAGTCCAGAACCAGCAATGCTACATAAAGGAAACTTTAGGAGAAAAGCAATACACGTTTGGGAAGGGGAAAGATGTGAATACCAATAAACTGCCTAATTTTCAGTGTTCACAACTTTTATAAAGGTGACATTCAGTTCCACAAACTTGTCTGCGTTAAAAGATGTAGCCGACTTCGATATCTAACTGAAGCATCAGGACTAGATGTCTAAAAAACCATCAGCACTCCTTACCCTTCAGCCTCGTCTGCTTCAGTGCTCCACTTCAAGGAGATGGGATAAGGTATTACATCTGTCACCGAAAACTCTCGAACTTTAAAGGCCGGTGACAGAATTGCACACTGCAAAAAAGACGTAACATCATAAACATAAATCATGTTAAAAGCAATAAACCCTATAGCATTCTTTTGCAGCATGGACCACATTGTTGAAATAGATACCATTATTAAACATTCAGTAGGGAACAAAACGCTCAGCTCAGTGTACAGTGTTCATTTTTAAAGAACAAGGTATCACTGTCACAACAGGTCAATACCAAGCCAAATAACCTGACCTGGAGTCAATACATTTTAAAAGCTAAACTCCAGGCAAACAACTAAATACACAAGTGAAATACATTTATAGGGTAACTGTTACCTGGCAAAAGACCTGTAATTCTGTGCAGCTGGTTTTGTGATCTAGATATCCATACCAAACAGCTTAGCCAAATGCTCAATCTCAGCTGCAGCAGAAGCACAGTCTGATCCAGAACACACCCCAAGCCAGCTGACTGGACAAAGAAGGATCAGCAGCACACAGAGGTCATCCCTCTTCTCATTCTGTGGTCTTCTGCCAACAAATGATTACTGCAAGATAGTGCTTGACCCTCTCACTTCCAATCTGAACAGTGCTGGGCAGATGACTACAGGAGGCACAAGAACGATTTAAGTACCTTCCGTAGTTGCATTTAAAAATATAATTCAAGGTCATTTTAATGAATACAGAATGAAGTCAACATTTAAAAAATGCCCAGAATGAATGCTGTATCACTAGCAAGGAGATTCACCCTCATGTCCTGTTCTAGAAATACAAGTGAAAGGAGAGTTCTCTAAAGTGAGGAAAAAAAATTGAAAACTTTGATTGGAACACGAGTCAACATTAAGCTAATTTCCTTCTTTGTGTGTTAAAATTTAATTTTGTTTTGTGCCCCAGTAACAATGGTCAGCAAGACAAAACGTGAGCATGAATCAAAAATACAAATTATAATATCCCTCTCTCCCCTTCACTGCAGTACCCACACAAAGAAATTGAGCTCACTGTAAAATCCATAACCTGAAGTCCATTGAGGAACACAGGAGTTCCAATACAATCAGGTTATGCTGCTGTCTACAGGAGGATTTGGATGCTGGCTAACAGAAAGGCTTCCAATCCCCAGTATTATAACCCTTCCTCTCCTCTACACAGCAGGTCTCAGTTTTGTGGTAAAGCAGTAGAAAAGTACAAAAATACAGGAGGACAGAAGAACAACCAGTCTACATGGTACTGCTGTAGAACAAGGGGCAGTAATCTCAAGTCAAGATCATATACTCAACCAAGAAACAAAGTGTGCCCTGCACATCTATATGGAAATCAGCCAAGATACTTGTAGAAAGTGAAGCAAAAGGCTCCAGCCATTTGCTCCCCCCACCCTCTGATGAGGGTCCTTCCCAGCTGATCCTTTTAAAGCAAATTAGCTAGATGCAGGGCAGACCCCACCATCACAAACTGGGACTTGGAGGGATTCCAACTGCCTGCAAGTAGAATATTTAAACCGCAAACCACCTGACTGCGGGTATTCCTGTAAAGGTTTACTGGTTTACCCACAATGGAAGTCTACCTTTCAACAAACTTCCCTCACAAAAGGGACATTTCCAGCATACTGTCAATAGGACCCCGCAGCGTGCTTCCTGTCCATAAAGAGAAATGCCTTGAATAGCTTGTGGACCTCAAAGTCCTTTGCAGCTGCATGAGCTCTAAAGGACCCAAGGCTGGAGACAACAGGCCAACCCTCCAAATGGATAACACAAAAAATAAACCTTCCTCAGCGGAACTGGAGAAAAAGGGTGTCCATCCTCCAAGGGCACTATCCAAAAACCGTGGCATTGTGGGTAGAAGAGGGGTTATACTGGGGCTAGCTTTCAATTCCTTTATTTGCCAGTGTCCAAAACCCTCCTGTATATGGCAACATAGGCCAACTAGATATACAATCCTGTGGCCCTCAATGTACAATAAAGAAAAAAAAAACAAAAAACAAAAAACACATGTTAAACACTGGCTGGGATTTTACTTTTCAAATAGTCTAAAAGGCACAACAAAATCCAACTTTAATCCATCTTAAATATAACAGGTCATACAACATCGTTAGTACCATGAAAGCATCACCTTGCCACCGCCATTAAATCTAACATCACTACAGCAACACTGAGGAGGGGCTTAGGAAGAAGGATCCACATAATCTATTCAGCTATATAGCTTCTATCAAAAGTATAAGACTCAAACAACTGAACCTCCACCCCCCGATAACCTGTGTACAATCCGGGCAACTACAGCACAATATCAGAGGGGGTCGTACAACCAGAAGCTGAGACATTACCTGTAAAGCACAGCCTCTTGCAACTGCTTCATCTGCATTTAATGTGGTGCTGACATCTTTCCCAAAGAACTTGGCAATTCTTTCCTTGACAGCTGGAATACGGGTAGCCCCTCCAACAACTTCCACTGAACTGATGTCTTCAACTCGAAGCTGAATCTGCTCCATTAACGATCGCAGAGGAGCATCGATTCTTTGTAGGAGGTCAGCACAAAGGGCTTCAAACTCTGACCTTGAAAGGGACACATCATTTATTGGGCAGCAGTTAGAAAGGCGGGACAAGACCGTAAAGAATGATGGGGTACCAAACAATGGCTCACCTGTTCATACGCCCAGACACATCTATGTCATTCATGAAGCATTCAATATTAAGAGGAATATCAGTGCTGTTACTGCTCATTAGCTTCTTCAGCTTTTCACACTCCTGAGAGAGACGCAGAAGAGCCCGGATTTTGGACTTCACATCCAACTTGTATTTAGTCTTGAACTCCACACAAAAATGCTGCACTAGCTTCTCATCAAAGTTCCTTCCTCCTAAATATGGATCAAACGCACTTCCAAGAACCTAGGAACAAGTATTCTGTCAGCTTATTTGGCTGAGAAGAGGCCAGGCTTTATTTAACGCAATCTGGTTTTTCATTTAAGATCATACCTTTAATTTGCCCTTATTGAAGGCGCAGGCTGTTATCTGGAAGGATGAATGGCCCATATCCACAAAAACAACTATTTTGGGTTTCTCCTCAGGAGCAGGAAGGTCTTGCTTATAAATCCCATAGGCCAATGCCACTAAAAGGAAAGATCCAATATAAACATGGGACTAGATAATGTGGACAGCAACATCTTAAAATACCAAAACCACAAAACAATAAGCAATCTCACGCAGGAGGAGCTATTCATTTTGTAAAGTACTGCGCAAACTGTTGGCGCTATATAAATCCTGTATAATAATAATAATTATTATTAATAAATACCACATTACATACAATCAAAAAGTGCCAGTCTTCAAAAAAACAAAACAGGCCTATGTGAGAATTGTTTGATGGGAACAGCAAGGCTTTAAGCCCAAGCTGCATACCAGTTCTGAAGTACTAGAGTGACATTAAACCTTTGTTTTTTTCCCCTTTTTCTATTTATTGTTGCCAGACTTTTAAAAAAACGTTTTTACATTTCTTTATTTCCTCGTTATCTGGTAGTATCCTAACTGCCAGCCCCACCCCTCCTGTGTATGGGTGCCTCTATCCGCTAACCGGCTGCTGTGGATGCACCTGTGCCCTCACCTAGCTATATGCGTCCATTGACACTCAGCATGGGGCCGGCCATGCCCCCACACTTGTAGTCATAGTTTGACTGATGGCAGAAGAAGTCTATGGCTCCTCTGCCCTCAGTAACCTCCCCCTCAACCAGGAAGTTCAGGGAGCCCAGAGTATCTTCCCGGTCACGGCGGAGGGTACAAGCAGCTGCAGGTAAGTGTAGGGGGGATGGGGGTGTTAGAAAAGTGCTGGGCTTTTTTTCTTTTTTTTACCCTAAAGGAGAGAATGTATTAAAAAGAGAACTATGGTGTAATTGTTTTTCCCCATAGTTCTTTTAAGAGTCACGGGAGGACATATACTAACCTCCTCAGATGACCCCAAAGCTCAGTATATTGCGAGCTACAGCTCGCGGTATACCGAGACCGCCGCAGCTGGGAGAGATCCCAACATTACTGTCAAGATCCACCCAGCTGTGTGAGTGACAGCGGTCGCAGCCTATCTAGAGGCAGAGCCAGCTGTATCCGCCCCGTCCCATTCCTCCAGTCAGCGCTGGAGGATCGGAGTGGGGAGGGAGTGAATCCCTGCAGGGAAAATTCCCATTCATTTCTATGGCCATGTTTACATCTGAGCGTCATTTCGCTTGTAGCAAAACACTTTTCGCTTGAAGAAAGTACATGAGCTTCTTTTTGGCAGATTCTGCGCTTCTGGGCTCCATAGACTTCAATGGAAACGCTCAAAAACGAGCATGTTTGCATGTTCTTGCATATTTTACGCGTCTGTCCACTTACATCAATGAGCTGCAATCCGCTCATTTAGGGCTTGTTCACACGACGTCCGGATTCTGTCCTGACCAGATCCATGCGCTCTTGCACTAAAAATGCATCGCAATGTATCCCTATGAGTTTTATGGGCTACAGTTCTCACATGCGCAGTCCGTTCAGGTCACGACAGAAAAAATACTGCATATCACATTTTGTACGGTCAGGAAACACGCAGAAAACGGACGCACTGCAGCTTAGCAAAAAAAAAAGTATTCTTTCTACACTTTTCATGATGTCATCATCGTTGGACTTCTTGGTTGTGGTGGAGCAGTAGAGGGAAACCAGTAGGCATGAACAACATGGTCCTGGACATAGAAAGATTTGTCGGATTGATGGAGCAAGCGCCAATACTATACGACCCTCGTCATCCACATTTCCAAAATGTACATGGAAAAAAAAAAAAAAAATCAAAACTGGAGAAAAAGCCTCAGAGCTGTATGCTGAATTCGCATTGTACAATAGTGTCCAAAAGAATGAATGTGGAGTGATTACACATATCTTGTATGTTGACCAACTGTATGCTGGTCATGTTATCCACTAACACACAGAGGGAAGTGGTTGTTATCAGGGGACGGAAGTGACTTCAGAGGAAGAATCTGCATACTGACAGCCCCACAGCTTAAAAAAAAGAACTGTCAGCATCCGGTCCGCGGTAAAAACGCGTCAAAAGCGCACTACATGCAGAGCACCGCGTCTGCAGATCCGCACCAGATCTGGACCGGAAAAAACGTGTGAACAAGCCCTAAAACGCAAAACTTTACGTATACATGTAAAACATGCGTAAAAACATGCAAAAAATTGCTATACAAAAGTCGAGCATATTTCATATCGCTCAGGTGTGAATGCAAGCTTACTGGTTTTGCTCATGTCATGCCAGGGGATGATGCCCCTCATAGCAGGGTTGAAGATTCTGGGTTTTCCAATGAATTACTTAGTTTTCCACCTTAACAAAATGTAAATTTTGTATGAAAAAATACTGAGTACGGGATATACAAACTAATGAAAGCACAAGATCAGCTTGTACAATAAAACTGAATAGGGCTCGTCTCTATCCTTTGTCACTCATAGAAATAGAGAGTCTTCCATACCTGCAGTCATGTCATTCATTAGTTTCAGGCAGTTCAATCCAACTATCTGCGCAGAGTCTAAAACTGATCTTCTTTCGGCGTCTGTGAAATACGAGGGAACCTGCCATATAAATTTGAGAGCAAATTAAAAGGTGTTTCCTTAGACCTTATAGGAATCATAATACACAACGAAATCCTCTGTATCAAAATGTCAGAAAGAAGAAACATTGTTGCCCCGTAATGATCAGATTGTCCATTTTATTTTCCCATACTGAAGTGAAAGAATAAGAATTAGTATCTTTCTGGTTATTAGAGGCAACAAGAAGACTTCATGCTCTAGGCAATTGGATAAATAAAACCTCCCAGAAAGTCAATCCATACTTACAGATATGACACAGTCGGTGACTGGCTTCTTCAAGTTGTTCTCTGCAGTCTCCTTTAGTTTAGTGAGCAGCATGGCACTTATTTGTTCTACACTGAACACATGGCTCTCTTCCATGTACATCACCTACAGGAAACACATGCGTTTCATTAGCTGGCGAGGACAAGCACTTGGGACCAGACTAGAACTAGATATCTGACAGCTTCCTACCTTAATCCCAACTCCTCCATTGTTTGTATGAACCAGTTCATAGGCCAAATTATTCCGCTCCCTCTGAACAAAAGGATCATTGAAATCTCGACCATGAAACTCCTTAAAGCCGGACACTGTATTTGTAGCATTTGTGACCAGCTGTAAGTAGAGGGAATTCAATGATGAGAACATAGTACATCCTGCAACATTCATAAATAAGGACAATGTACTAGGAACAAAAGTGAGCAGATGATTCTTCCGATCCGCCATTATACAGAAAAAAAAAATGGCACCTAGTGCTTAATACACAGAACCCATCTGTAATGATCATCATTCATGTCTCCCTTTGGTCAGTCCTCTTTCCTAGCTGTGAATGTGCCAGAAAATGTCCCACTGTCCAATGACATTCTAAACCTTGTAAGGTCCAGACATAATGAACAGCAAAAAGGTGTAGATGGCAGGAGGCCCTCCATAGCAGTGGGCCATCACTGTGGGATTCTGCAAGCAAATTACCCTCAATATGTGTTTTATAGAAGTATACTTATTCCTCAGGTCTGGAAAGCAACCTCAACTCCATATCCACTGGAAGACCTTGGGTGGCTAAATAACACAATGTAGGTCTTCAATCTAGCCACCAAGACATATCTAGTATGCCCTGCAACCTCAAGGCTGGATGGGACAGATGAAGGTTAGAACCTCTGATTGGTTTTTATTGCCATTTAAGACCTTCTTCAGAAGACAGCTCCTCACTATATGGCCTGGAGTTTATTGTCAGACACAAAAACAGTGGTAGAGGGGACACCCGTTTATATGACAAATGTCTGGTGGGGTTTTCCTCTTACCTCCTGCCTTGGAAATTGGTTTATTGGCCACAAACTAAAGTATTTCTTACATAAGAACTATAGAAAACTCAGCTTAAGCTCACTCTGGGTAATGAAAGTTCTATTTTCTATTTTATTTTGATTTCTTACAAATAAATGTTCCACACAAATGATACATGAAAATTGGTGTATAAATTTGTGAACACTTACCTGATTCTTAGCGGCAACACCAATTGTTCTGTTTTTCGTGCCAAAGGAAACCACAGCCCTAAATTAAAAGAAAAATCCAATTAAGCATAATCATTCTGGAAATGCAAGAACCCTACTCCTGAAAGTCTATGGTGCACCAGCCAGATGAGGCATTTTGACCACTAAGCTCCAGCGGCATCTGCAGCATGCGCCCCGTCTCCATCCATAGCATGAACACCAACAGTAGCACAATACAATTGTTCATATTCAGGACAGGACTGCCCAGCGCACAGATGCCTTGAGGATGGTTAGACCAGATGTCTATGATGGCCTCCACTTAGCAATATTAGTCATCTTGGGCAAAAGAAAACATTGTAACAAAATAGAAAGTAGCAACTTTAGCCCCATACAAGATGGTTAAATAAATATCAGTTATCAAATAGAACTTCAGCTAAACCCGACAATGGGGGATGTTAACACGAACAGCATCTTCTATTCCGCATACAGTGTATTTCTGTGGCAAGATATCAGGGACCACAAAGTGAGAGAAGACCAGGCTGTGTGTGAGAATTGCACATCCAGGAAAGTAGACCTCTGCTGTAATACTGCAATGACCAGCTTTCAGCATCATGAAAAAGATCATTCTAGGTCATGCTGTGGGTAGATGTGGATGGGTCCAGTCAGCTAGTCCAGGAGCTGGCTTCTTGCATTTTGTATGGACTCTGAAGGCCACTTTAGTTACCATGTCCATCCACCAGCAGTTGTGTCTCACTCTACTCTTTATATGTTCCCCATTTACAATGAGCAGAATGCTTCAACACAAATAGAAATACAAAGCGTGTGGAGAGTTTACAGAGCAAAGAACTCCAGCAGGAAAATATTGCCCTCGAGGACACATATGGCCCCAATACATCTCACGCCAAATGTAAATTAGGGCAAGTACATCAAACAAGTACATCATCTCTACTGCTGAAGTTGGTTAAGAGAGATACAGAAAAAGAGCCATCACACCAGCAGCTGCACCTAAGGGCTTGTTCACACCAAGCGCGGAGCAGATCCGGACCAGAGCAGGTGCAGACCGGATCAAAACTGCGTCCAACGTATTCCTATGGTATTTTGACCTCCAGTTCACATCGCAGCGTGCGGATCCAGACCAGATCCAGACCGGATGAAAAAAATGCAGCAAGCCCTATTTTACCTGCTCTGGAACGCATCAAAAACGCATCTAAAACGCAAAAACGCATCAAAAACACATGCAAGTGCCTGAAAGTCCATGTTAAACTTTAAAAAAAAAAAAATTTTTTTTTTTTTTTACCAAAACCGGCCCTAAACGCATCCAAAACGCGGCACAACCCACTACACTGCGTGTGCAGAAACCTGACCGGATCTGGTCTGCATTTGGTGTGAACAAGGCCTTAGACAGAAAGCCTCATACCCCTTAGGACAGGGGTAGGGAACCTTGGCTCTCCTGCTGTGCTGAAACTACAAATCCCATAAGGCATTGCAAGCCACAGGCATGACTCCCAGAGGCAGAAGCATGATGGGATTTGTAGTTTCAGCACAGCTGGAGAGCTAAGGTTGCCTACCCCTGCCTTAGGAGTATGGGGCGTATTAGTACAGCTAGATCACTCGAATCATTGTCCATCTTTCCACATTCACAGATCCATTAAAACAATATGAAAAAGGTCCGGAGCAAACAGAGTGGAGACGACCATAATAACTTCACGTGTAGTGTTATGCAAGGAGGAAACGCAGGCAATACAGAACACTTCCATATAAAATAACATCAATGAAGCAACGCTGCTCTCCAGCTGTAACCATCAGTCTCTTATGGTACGGTCTACACCCGGCTGCCGTTTCTTCCGCAAGAAGGGAAAGATCAGCATGCTAATCGTCTTTTAATGATCAGATGATGGCTGGTTCTGATGATCTCCTACCGTACAGTAGCGGGCACCAGTGCTAGCTTCCTGTGGGTGGGTGTGTGTATGTCCAATGCTATGGTAAACTGGAGCTAGGAAAAAACTATTTATAATGGTCTTGCATTAAAAATCACATTGGTACACTGCAATCTGCTGTAAAATAGTGATAATGGAATAAATACAACACCCGATCAATGCTCATGTGCAGTGGTGGCCAGTTTACATTATATAAAGGCTTCAACAAAGGGCCAGACATAATATTCAGGTAATGTAAAGGCTACAGAGAGCGCTCGGTGACTGAAGACATGCACCATGACATGATCAGACTGCAAACATGTTACAGGAGGAGACTAGGGACATGCTTGAGCAGACAGAGGTAGCCCGGAGCCGTGTTACATTAGAGGTCTGCAAATGACTGCTCTTAGAGCCCCTTCACTATTCCACATTTGTCATCTCTACTGCCCTCTTCAAAATTACTTATGCCACATCTGATACTTCTCACAGAAAGATCCATTATAAAGAGATCAGAGGAAAAAAGAACATAAAAAGGAGGAAATGGATAGGAAATACAGAAAAGAAAATGAAAAAAGTGGAAAATAAACCAAAGAAGAACTCTAGGGGAAAATAGTATTAACCTTTGCATCGGGTCTACCCTGCACTGCAAGGGTTAGCTGCTTGTTTTCATCCAGGGACCAAAATAAAGTTATACTCACCTGAACCTCAGAGCCGGTGTTCTATCGAAAGCTACGACTTGTCGAGCTCTCCAACTGGTGATGTCACATCTGGTGACTGCCAGTAGGAGATCTACAGCAGATGGTGCTAGTGCGCATGCCCAGGAAATCCTTGTCCAACTAACTATTGCCACAGGGCCTGCGCGGCTATCCACTTCTATAACCTAATACAGTTATATGTCTCCAAGGTTATAGAAGCCGATAGGGGCGCAGTGGCTATTGCTTTATTGGATTCTATAACCTAGTAAAAGGTTATATTATGTTAGAGCGCCAGCGCGGCCTCATGATTCTTTATACAGCCACAGTTGCCACTGCGCAGCTAGCGGCTTCTATAACCTAGGACAAATATAACTGTATTAGGTTATAGAATCTGATGAGCCGCGCAGGCGCTGTGGCAATAGTTAGACAAGGATTTTCTACCCATGCACACTAGCACCATCTGCTGTACATCTCCTATTGGCAGTCACCGGATTTTACGTGACCAGTCGGAGCTTTCGATAGAACACCAGGCAACTGTGACAACGCTCCCTCCGGCCTGTCCCCCCCCCCTCCGCACCAGTCATGGTATGTCCCTTGGCATCCTTACATCTGTACAGTGTATAGAATGTGATGACTTGAGGATCCTTAAACCACTGTAGCGGAGGATTGGAGAGACGCTGAAAAGACCAAACAGCAAGACAGCTCTAAGCATTAGGCAAGTATAACTTTATTTTCCTCCCTCAACCAAAACAAGCGCCTAACCCTTGCAGTGCGGGGGTCGCCCCCCCGAGTTCTGCTTTAACTATTAGAAGCCTGTCTATAGAATATTTTTCCTTTAACACCAAAACAGAGCGGCGTCTGTAAGGGCCCGAGGGCTGCATGGAAGGCACCAGAGCTTTGCAGTAAAAAGCACAGCCACACCCACTGCGCCTGCCGACTGCACCTCGGTAAAGCTCTAAGCCAATCAGGAGCGTTCTGATCAGCTGGTCGCTGAAGTCAGCAGGCTCTCTTCTCCTAGATCAATCATCACAGGCTGAGAAGGAAGACTCCAGAATACACTGCCAAACAACAAATGGAAGATATATCTGGACCAGAAAGTAGCACTAGCACCTCTGGTATGCAATGGAGTTAAAGGGACTATGTTACCTAACACTGCTCGTCATGTGACAGTATTAGGGACTAGTGATTGGCAGCTCAAATACTAGGTATTGATTGGGATATATTTTAAGGCGATAATCAAAGGGCCATACATGTACACATTCATGCAGCTCAAATCCCAACCCATGTATATGCTTAGATCTATATTAGTGGAATCAATATTTAGGAACATACGAATGTGACAAGACTTTGTATTCATCGGTCTCCTAGATAGATAAACACCACAGTCACCGCACATCAAATGCACAATCCGAATGTATTCTGTACAGACTATGACTAGAACAGCAGCGTTCTGCCCAATCACGGCTCACTCCTTATTTCCAAAATCAACTACCTCACCAGTTTCCCTTAAAACAGAATCCTCCGGTTAAACTAGAAACAATGTCGGAGGAATATTATCAAGAGAACACACGCAGCCACAAAGCCCAAAAGTAGATTTAAAAAATACATCTTCAACAAACACTGTTAAGCCAATCTTTACACAAACCACTTGTCTAGCAAGAAAGGAGCCATTATGGCAGGGGTGCCCATTAGGTAGATCGTGATCTACCAGTAGCTCTCAAAGCTGATGCTGGTAGATCACGAAGGGTGTGAATGGCGGCCCCTTTATTCCATGTTGGTATATTTATTTAGCTGTGCACACATGATTACCTATTAGCCAGAGTCTGCCGAGCTCCCTGACACCTTTCTGGTGGATTCTGGTGGTTGAAGTGCTAGGTATTACATCAAAGAATATTAGTTTACACAGCCTGCTGCACTACACCGTGTGCAAAATACAGCAAGGTGAGCCAAGAGAGAGGAGAGCCAGGAAAGAAAGAGAGAGGAGAGCCAGGAAAGAAAGAGAGAGGAGAGCCAGGAAAGAAAGAGAGAGGAGAGCCAGGAAAGAAAGAGAGAGGAGAGCCAGGAAAGAAAGAGAGAGGAGAGCCAAGAAAGAAAGAGAGAGGAGAGCCAGCCAAGAAAGAAAGAGAGAGGAGAGACAGCCAAGAGAGAGGAGAGACAGCCAGGAAAGAGAGGAGAGACAGCCAGGGGAGAGAGCACAGAGAGACAGCCAGGAAAGAGAGAGCACAGAGAGACAGCCAGGAAAGAGAGAGGAGAGACAGCCAGGGGAGAGAGCACAGAGAGACAGCCAAGAGACACAGCCAGGAGAGAAAATGAGGAATGACAGCCAGGAGAGAGAGGCGAGACAGCCAGGAGGATGAGCAAGGAGATACAGCTAGGAAAGGGAGGAGAGACAGCCAGGAGAGAGAGTGAGGGAGGTTTTTTTTCCGTTGGTAGATCTCATGTAGCTCATTTGAAAAGTAGATCTCAACACAAAAAATGGTGGGCACCCCTGCATTATGGCAACCTTGGAAAATTTCACAAACTTTATACATTTGTAACGAAGATTACTTCATAAAAGCAACACACCTTTGTGTGTCAGACCCACTGGAATGTTCCGGTACAAAGCAGACGGTAGCCTTCCATCAAAGATGAATATATCATATGCAGGGCATATCTGTGAATGTTCCCTCTGTGCAAATATATGCCAAAATAAATGTTCCTTCTGATTTTCTTTACAAGTTAAAATAATTTTCAAATGTTTTCATTTAATATCCCTAATATGGTCACTAGATGGAGCTAGGTAAAAAATACATTCAGGTACCTTCACTATTAACAAAAATCTAGCTTATTTGTGCACCACTCGGGTGTAGATCCTCAAATCATCTCTGGATTGGTGCTGACACTGTCCTTCCTTCTGGAGGGTGACTACTTCTGTTCCCCATGGTCCCTGTGTGTGTTGTAAAGTTGTCACCTCTCCAAGCTCACTCCGGTGATGGACAACAATCTCACATTTAGTTAACTTATTTGTATTGAGATTGTAGTCCATCACAGGAGTGAGCTTGGCTCGGTGGCTACGTTAGAACACACATGGGGAATAAGGCTAGGTTCACACCTAGGCGACACTTCACCATGCGACAAATCGATCGCGGCTAAAACAGGTGCGCGTCGTATCGCCAAAAAAAAAAAACTTGTACCTTTTTTCTGAGATTGCCACACGGATGTCACACCATTGAAATCAATGGAGCAGCGCGGCAATCGCTGCCTGCATTGTACATGACAGCACGACACCCGGGACACAAGTGTGAACCTAGCCTAAAAGGTATCACCCTCCAGAAGGAAGGACAGTGTCGGCACCAATTCAGAGATAATGTGAGGCTCTACAGCCGAGTGATACACAAATAAGTTACATTTTTGGTGATAGTCGGGGGACTTGAAGATTTACCTCCCGAGTTTAGTGTCACTTTAACCGCCCATGTGATATGATCCAGCCCTGGCCCCTGGAATCCGTGTTGTACATCTACAAAATGACTGCTGTAAAGTAGTGAATAAATAATCTAATAGAAATATAAAACATTCTATATACATCAGCGATGACCCTGCACACTAACAAATAAAGAGATCTATAATGTAACCAGTCCAGTCGAGTTCCTATAGTTACTCGAAAGTGTCCAAAGGATTGATTGCGGTTAGCAGAGGTAGAGGATGAAATTCCGGAACATTCTAGACACTCCATTACCTTATCACACCTGACCGATGTCTGACACTGTAGACTTTTATAGATCACACTCTGCACCAAACATCTATTTAGAATCCGGGTTACATAAAATGTGCCATTCCGTGGACAGGCTCAATGATGCATCTGAACAAGTCGGAGGTGCTCGGATCACAGGCATGGCTGGGAACAGTGAGCAGTAGGGAATACAGCCAGGGAGATGCAGCAAAGACATTACATAACCTCTACTGCATCCAGCAAAGCCTTTCCTTGTCCTAGCAGCACCCGCACATCAGGAGCACAGGGCGGAATACAAGCCAAGATTACACTGAATGTACACTCCAAAGTCTTCAGCAGAACTTTCCAGACACTTCCCTGTGGATGTCTGCTGTGTACACAAGAATGAAGCGCGTCATTCACAATACATTCCTGATGGACAAAACGTTCACTTTTCTGTATTTCCTGATAACACGTGTCCTGATAACGAGGTTCCATACATGATTACCAAATAGCAGCGATGGCCGGACTATGTGCAGAGACATACAAGAGAACTACACAGCAACAACTTCCATCTATACAGCGTACAACGCCTTGGGGTACACATTCCTATAACTGTATGGAGACCACACCACCTGTGTAATATACAAGTATGGGGTGCTCATCTCCTATTCTGGGGTCCCTTGTATTATTCTGTCATGGACTTCTCAGCTCCAGTGTCCCTTCTCTTATACTGTCACAGGTTGCTCTGTCACCTCTCTGGGGCCCTATTATTCTGTCCTGGATATCTCAGCACCTCATAGCATACTGTTATGGGTTGTTCAGTCCCTATTCTCAGGATCCTTGTATTATACAGTCATTGGCGTTCAGTCCCTATTCTGAGGACCCTCGGATTGTACAATCATTGGTGTTCAGTCCTTATTCCGGAGACCCTTAGATTGTAGTCATTGGCGTTCAGTCCCTATTCTGGAGACCTTCATATTATACAGTCATTGGTGTTCAGTCCCTATTCTGGGGACCCTTGGATTGTACAGTCATTGGCGTTCAGTCCCTATTCTCAGGACCCTAATATTGCACAGTCATAGGCATTCAGTCCCTATTCTCAGGACCCTAATATGGCATAGTAATTGGCGTTCAGTCTCTATTCTCAGGACCCTAATATTGCATAGTCATAGGCATTCAGTCCCTATTCTGGGGGCCTTCATAGCAATATATCCCCTCTAAGGTGTAATTATTATTATTATTATTGCATAGTATTTATATAGCACCAACAGTTTGTGCAGCGCTTTACAATATAAGGAAGACATTACAGCTACAATACAATTCAAGACAAGATGGTAAGGAGGGCCCTGCCTGTGAGGGCTTACAATCTGGAAGACATTCCTCAGAGAATAATATTGATCATACCCCACCATAGCACACCGCTCCCACCAGTCCCCCGATTATCATAGACAATGGGGGGAATTAATGAAAACTAGAGCAGACAGTTTCATATAGCAACCAAAGGGTATCTTCAGAGAGAAGCTGATCGCTTGCTACGGGCAACTGCTTCAGATTTGATTAATTCCCCCCAATAAGTCCATTGGCTCCTCCAGGAATCACGTGTTGAAATGAATAGTGGCCCAGAAACTATGACAGTCCATCTTCCAGTATGATGATGGCTGAGCTCCTGCTGCGCATCCAGTGTGTATGGCGGCCGAGGGAGCCCAGGACATTTCAGAGCTGGGGAACCTCACCAGTGCCGCACATGGCACACCGGCAATGCCAGGAGCTTTGTGCCCGCCGTACTATCCCTCTCCCGGCACTACTTACGGGGTGCATCTATCGCTGAACTCATTGGCCACCGTCTCGATACCGCCGGCTCTGGCGATGGCTACATGACAGTTCTGAAATCCCAGGTCGAAGCCGACCACAGACATGATGAGCCAAGGAAACGACACAACCCTAGGCGAGAAGTCCAGCCGCTGCGATGCCGGTACCCAGAATCACGCTGCAGCGCTGTCTGAGTCAGTGTGATGGGAGGAGGCGGAGGCGGTGATCGATCAAAACTACGAACTTATCGAGTTGTGGGACCACATTACTTCCGGTTTCCTCACAACTACGAGGTTTTTACACAAAACATGTTGTGCACGAGCGCCATCCACGGCATTGCCCTATAGACATAGACCACAGCAATAAAGTAATAAAATGATGTAGGATGACAGTAAGCCAGCGCGTTCTTTATCTCAGGTGCCCCACTCAAGCGGCGGCCATATTGAGTGGGGCACCGGAGATAAAGAACGTGCTGGCTTACTGTCATCCTACATCATTTTATTACTTTATTGCTGCGGTCGAAGTGTATAGGGCAATGCCGTGGATGGCGCTCGTGCACAACATGTTTTGTGTGCAAACCTCGTAGTTCTGAGGAAACCGGAAGTCATGCGGTCCCACAACTCGATAAGTTCGCACTTTCGACACATCACCGGCTACACGTGCCGCTTCCGCTTCCGCGTTCTGGACTCTTCTCGAGAGCTCTCCGCGGCTAGCCAATGAGAGAAAGCCCTGGCCGGTGACGTCAGTAGTCTCCGCGGTAACTGAGACGCCGTGGTTACTAGGGCAAGGGGAATAGCTGAGCTTCTTCTCTAGTTCTTCAGTTAAAGGATCATTATAATAAAATCAATGAGGGGAATTTACTAAGACTGGAGCACACAGTATCTGGCAACCAATCAGCTTCTAGCTTTCATTTTCAAGGCTTAACTAAACAAAACTGAAGAGAGAAGCTGATTGGTTACTATGCACGGCTGTTCCAGTTTTAGTAATTCCCCCTAATGATAGCGTTCAAAGCATGAATTTCTTTCTTTTATGCGACATTTCGTTTTCTCCATAATCACATGCAAACCAATCTGTCCAGAAATGCAGTTTAAAGCTGTACCAGGGCTCAGCCATCTCCAGATACCTTCAGGGCGGTTGCAGGGTTCTCTTCTGATCTTCTCCAGATACCTCCAGGCTTGTTGCAGGGTGCTCTTCTGATCTTCTCCAGATACCTTCTGGCCGGTTGCAGGGTGCTCTTCTGATCTTCTCCAGATACCTTCAGGGTGGTTGCAGGGTGCTCTTCTGATCTTCTCCAGATACCTTCAGGCTTGTTGCAGGGTGCTCTTCTGATCTTCTCCAGCTATCTTCAGGCTTGTTGCCGGGTGGTCTTCTGATCTTCTCCAGATACCTTCAGGCCAGTTGCAGGGTGCTCTTCTGATCTTCTCCAGCTATGTTCAGGCTTGTTGCAGGGTGCTCTTCTGATCTTCTCCAGATACCTTCAGGCCAGTTGCAGGGTGCTCTTCTGATCTTCTCTGGATACCTTCAGGCCGGTTGCAGGGTGCTCTTCTGATCTTCTCCAGATACCTCCAGGCTTGTTGCAAGGTGCTCTTCTGATCTTCTCCAGATACCTTCTGGCCGGTTGCAGGGTGCTCTTCTGATCTTCTCTGGATACCTTCAGGCCAGTTGCAGGGTGCTCTTCTGATCTTCTCTGGATACCTTCAGGCCAGTTGCAGGGTGCTCTTCTGATCTTCTCTGGATACCTTCAGGCCAGTTGCAGGGTGCTCTTCTGATCTTCTCCAGATACCTTCAGGGTGGTTGCAGGGTGCTCTTCTGATCTTCTCCAGATAGCTTCAGGCCGGTTGCAGGGTGCTCTTCTGATCTTCTCCAACTATCTTCAGGCTTGTTGCCAGGTGCTCTTCTGATCTTCTCCAGATGCTTTCAGGCCAGTTGCAGGGTGCTCTTCTGATCTTCTCCAGATACCTTCAGGCTTGTTGCAGGGTGCTCTTCTGATCTTCTCCAGCTATCTTCAGGCTTGTTGCCGGGTGGTCTTCTGATCTTCTCCAGATACCTTCAGGCCAGTTGCAGGGGGCTTTTCTGATCTTCTCCAGCTATCTTCAGGCTTGTTGCAGGGTGCTCTTCTGATCTTCTCCAGATACCTTCAGGCCAGTTGCAGGGTGCTCTTCTGATCTTCTGTGGATACCTTCAGGCCAGTTGCAGGGTGCTCTTCTGATCTTCTCTGGATACCTTCAGGCCGGTTGCAGGGTGGTCTTCTGATCTTCTCCAGATACCTTCAGGCCGGTTGCAGGATGTTCTTCTGATCTTCTCCAGATATCTTCTGGCCGGTTGCAGGGTGCTCTTCTGATCTTCTCCTGATACCTTCAGGCTTGTTGCAGGGTGCTCTTCTGATCTTCTCCAGATATCTTCTGGAAGTTCTGGCGAGTTGCAGGGTGCTCTTCTGATCTAGTGTGTGTAGCTCCTGCCATACACGTTTCGTCCAATGGACTTTCTCAAGGGTAGCATACACGCTGACTCTATCTCTATCTCCTTTTCTTATTCCCAGGTACCACATTTACATACCCAGATAATGCATTTACATACCCAGACACCACATTTACATACCTAGATACTCTCCCGCGCCTCTTCAAGTTCCCCCTTATGCCACCACCGGCCCTGGGAATAGTCACAACTAGGTCTTATTTTTAGGGTAGGTCTTACATTTTAGCAATTCCCAAAATAGTACTAAGTCTTATTTCCGGGGAAACACGGTAGTAGACCCATACCTAAATTACCATTAAAGTGACATTAAACCCTCAGATTTTTTAACATAAAACAATACTGTAATGTGTGCCTTACTGTAATCCATGGTTGTTTCCCTTCTCTTTGCTGCTCTTCCTTTTAAATCTGTATCTGTTCTCATGCTGGGCAGAACTTCTGTTTTGCAGCAGACTGCCTTGTCTCTGGAATGGATACATGGTGTCTGTGTGCAGGTTCACAACCTGAGCCAGCACTACAGGAAGAGGCCCTGAGCTGCAAAGGGAAGTTCTCCCCAAGCATGAGAAGACATGAGGATTTAAAAGGAAGAGCAGCAAAGAGAAGGGAAACAACCATGGATTACAGTAAGGCGCACATTACAGTATTGGTTTATGTTAAAAATCTGAGAGTTTAATGTCCCTTTAACCCCTCAGGACAGGTTTTCAGGTTACCCCACATGCATTGTCTTGCTAATTATCTCACAATCAGAAATCAGAAACTATATTCCAAACCTCCCATCAGCTGTCAATCTATTCCATTTACAACTAATGGGCCCACATATAAAATATACCGTTAACCCCTGGTGAATGGATTGTATAGTTACCTCACTTTTATCATACTATTGGTTATCTCGTTAGCCTGATAACCTAGAGTAAGCAAGGACGAGTTTGGTATTTTTATCCCAGAAACTAATAGTTATTATATCCTTCACTCTCCATAAGAGGGGCGGTTGATGGCATACAAAGGGCTTTTATTAATCTCCTGTGATTTCCACCTCAACTATTACTGATGAAACAGTTTAGGTCCAATTCAGGATTCAAGCCTTTAGGATACATTGTATCATTCTGGTTCCATGAATACCCCTCCATTGGCTGAATACTCTGTCCACTCCATAAAAAGTAAACAAAGAATATTTTTTATATTCTGGATTTGCTTAAAATTTTTTGAAATGCTATGCTGATCATATCCAGATGTGAGAGAGTATCAGCAGTGCCAATTAAGCCAGCACTAAAGGAAGCAAGGCGGCAGCGAAGGGAGCAGAGCCGCATAAGCCGATGTCTCCTCTATAGCGCCGACTCCTGTCACAGACGGAGTTAAAGCAAATGCACTCCGCCTGTGAGGACTGATAGTGAAAGCGCACTTCGCTCATTCTGGCCAGCGATTGGTTACCAAATTACTCTTGGAAAGGGACGGCACCCCTGACTACCATTTTTTTGTACGTGAATACATGTAGACTGTTGTACATGAATGTGTGGATTCTTGTACATTAAAGGAGAACTATGAGGTGAGTGCATTTCACTCACCTCATAGTTCTAGCCGACCTGTGACAATGAGACTGTCACAGGTCGGCTCAGTAGATCGGGAGGTGAGCGAACACATACCGGGTTGGCTCCCCTCTCGATCCTGTCACAGCTCTCTGCCGTGACAGGGGAGGGGCTGGATTCCCCCCTCCCCGCTCCGATCCGCCAGCGCTGACTGGCGGACGGGGAGGGGGCGGGTACAGCTGGCTCTGCCTCTAGATAGGCAGAGCCAACTGTCACTCACGCAGCTGGGTGGATGCAGACATCGATGTCGGGATCCGCTCCGGCCACGGCGTCTCAGTATACCGCAAGCTGTAGCTCGCGGTATACTGAGCTTAGGGTAACGGGAGGACGCTAGTTTGTGTCCTCCCGTTACCCTAAGGAGAACTATGGGGAAAAGCCCTGACCCAATAGTTCTCCTTTAAAAAAAGTAAGAACTACCCCGAAAATAAGGCCTAGTGTGGTTTTTTGAGCCAAAAAAAATATAAGACAGTGTCTTATTTTCGGGGAAACACGGTAGTTTCCAACGGCATAAAAGGCTGATTGTGAGATAACCAATAAGACAACAAATACGTGTTAATTTGAATACCTATTATGAGGGGTTAATGGTAATTTGTGTATGAGTCCACAGATTTCAATGACCTATGATACTATCTAGGGGGTTGTAGATCTTGAATATAATAATAGTAAATATTTTTTATAGTAGTAATGATTTTATAGGATACACATTAGGTAATAGAAATATGGTATATTGCTGTATATGCAGACTAATATAGCTTTAGAGAGACTACCATAAGGGTATGTAAATGCATTATCTGGGTATGTAAATGTGGTATCTGGGTATGTAAATGTGGTATCTGGGTATTATTATTATTATTATACAGGATTTATATAGCGCCAACAGTTTGTGCAGCGCTTTACAATATAAGGAAGACATTACAATTACAATACAATTCAAGACAAGATGGTAAGGAGGGCCCTGCCCGCGAGGGCTTAGAATCTAAAGTATGTAAATGCATTATCTGGGTATGTAAATGTGGTATGTGGGTATGTAAATACGGTATGTGGGTATGTAAATGTGGTATCTGGGTATGTAAATACGGTATCTGGGTATGTAAATGTGGTATCTGGGAATTATAAAGGAGATAGAGTCAGCGTGTATGCTACCCTTGAGAAAGTTCATTGG